CCCCAAAACCCCAAAACCCCAAAACCCCAAAACCCCGGGAAATAAAATCTTTTGTTAAATCACTTATAAAAAATTAAATCAATTATCAAAGAGAGGGACAATATTTTTAATAGCTTGCATTTGATAATCATCCTCTTTAAGCTCAATATTTATTCCAAGATCACTAATTCCTTGACTGATTGAATCATAATGATCTTTTACCTGCTTAACATAATCATTAAGTTTGACTTTTTAACTTTCATCCTCAAATCCGCTTAAGACAAAGACTACATTTAATCTCTAGCTTGATAATCTTTGGAAATTCGCTAAAGCAATAGCCATAAACTGTGATTCTCTCCAAGAATCTCTAAGTTTTTTAAGTCCATACTATTTCGAGGAAATACTTCCCTTTCTATGATCAGGAGAAGTATTTGGGCCACCAGATACTTCATCACCACTATGACCACTATTATCAGTATTAAATGTCTCTGCCATGATTTCAAGTGCTCCTACATCTCCAACCTCATAAGAATAGCTATTTTTACTCTAGACTAGTCTATTTCTCAATATCATAGAGCTATAGAAGTAGATATCACTAATTCTGATGGAAATATGTGATTGAGATGCTTTAGAAGATTCACTTGATTGCATATTGCTAGCATTGAATTGATTCAGTGCTAATACATCTGAATCATGGACGATTGTAATAGTGTAGTAAATATCTTGAATTTGAGTTACTTCTTGATGATTGAAACCCTTTACAAGATCTAAAGCTTTTTATGTTTTAGAGATACCAATGCTAATTTTAATGACTTGTTAATCTCTTTCAATGCTCATGTTTTGCTATTTGAATAACTGTTCTAAATTTTCATCTATTAACTGGGATAAGTTATGTGAGACATTAAGTTCATTAGTCAACTCAGTTTTACTATCATCAAATGAAATTTTGACTTGATCATAATCAAGATCAATATGCATAAAAATTGAGATAGTTTTCCTCTTTAGTAACTCTTACTTATCTCCTACTTTACTAAACTTGAATATAACATTTTTATGGTCGATCGTTGGAAGTATAGCTCTACTTTGTCTTAATTACTATCTGATCATATTACTATTCGCTGAAGTTTATGATGCTGAGTTCGCGCTACTACCATTAGTGGTTGATCGCTGAGAAGATGGTGCAGAAGTAGATTTATATGGGTCTACTTCACTATTTAATAAAGATGACTGAACATCATAACCCTTATTGCCCTCATTTCTTTAAACTGGTCTCAAAACAGAAATACGATAAGCTAAAGTCTTTCCTTTGAACCATGAGTGATCATTACTCCATAATACCTTATAGATTCCAGCATCCTTTGCAATAAAACTGACTTTCACAAAATTAGGGAATGATTCAATCTTTGTTAGAGGGAATATCCCCTCAAGCTCTTCATGCTATATTTCTTCTTCGTTTGATACTTAAGATTTTAGAGTGACTTTATGGAATCCAAATTAGATATCATGAGAGGTAGTTGAAAATCCACAGAAAATAATGGAATTAGGCTCTTCAACTTCAATCATCTAGAAGAAGTTAGCTCCAGCCCCGATTTCTTATAGCTAAGGATAGCCAACTTTTATGTTGAATTCTCCATATTTCTGAATGCTCAAGCATTTAGGGTTTGGTTTATGTTTTTCAAGACTCTCAGCTGCTAAGTAAGACTACAATTCCTTTCTGCTGAATATTTTTTCCTTGAAAGTAGCTTCTGTTTCATCAGATGAAATAAGATAATTCACAAATTTCTATGCTTCGATGTAGGATTCTTCAATTTTTTAATCCTCCTATTCCTGTTATCCACTACTTGCTGCGGCTTTAGCTCTATTCAAGTACGACTTATTTTGTTAGAGCTCATTAAATTTGTGATGAATGTTGATAAGAACCATAATAATGGGATCTTCCAAGTTCTTTCTATAAACATGGAATGAATTGTATAGTCGCTTAAATACAGTTAAAACTGTAGATTAAAGATTGATGTTCTTTGGGAATGAAAGGAAAAAGTTTATTATTAGTGCTATTGAAGAATAAAGCCCTTCTGATTGTTCCAGTGCCTCTTTCTATTCTGTTAATTAATAGAGAATAGTCTCTTTACTAGTGTCAATTTAGCCACCTTATACATCAGCGTTGATATAATCTCTTCCATTTAAAGTTTAACTTAAGATATCCTTGTCTATCTCTACAAGGTATTCAGTATCAAATATCATAGCTGTCAGAAAATTTGAGAGAGTATTAAAAATTTCCTTGTCACCCTCTTTTATATCTCTTATCATTGATTTAATTATTGCCTAGCATTTAGATGAGAAAAGTGATAGCTACTCTTACAATGTCAAACATTAAGTCAATTTTTCTGAGAGTTATTGAATACCGCTAATCTTATCTGGAATATTAGTTGATTTGCAAAGTCTTTTAATCTCAAATGTTTGATTTTCAAAATCATTGAATGCGTCAGAACCTTTTAAGTTCGGTAGTGCCAACAATTCTTTAATTTCCTCTTCCTAATCCTCATTTATATCTTTCCTTTTAAGTACGTAATTTAGTAAAGCTTTAGATCTTTAAACCATTCTTCTAGCTATCGATGTTCCAACCATCAAGTCATGCAAAAGGAAGATGTTATTTATGAAATAGATAAGGTCACTAGTATCTTTCTATTCAATATTGATAAGTTTTCCTTTTAACACTAAATCAAATATTCTCATTATATTGTACTACACTACCATATTATTGGTCTATTCACTAAGTTTTTCGATCTTATGCAATGAAGAATCTGAAAGAAAACTGATATCTTAGCTATCTCCTTTTGCTTATTATGAGTCTGAAAATCCTGCGCCTAAATTCTTCTCATTCAAAAATTTTTATGCTTATCTTTTTCTCTCAATAAGCATCTCAACTTCTTTGAGTATTTTAACAGACTGCATTAAAGCTCTTTACTGTGATTCATCAGCTTCAGATGTATAGGCCTCGGTTATTGTGGCATCAAATTGCTTTTGATGGCTTTCTAGATATTTCAAAATTTCAGACATTATTAGTAGGTGTTTTAACTTTTCTATTATTTACTTTTTTTTGTGCTTTACTAACTATAAACACTCTATTAATTCTCATGGGGTTTTGGGGTTTTGGGGTTTTGGGG